TTGGAGGCCTCCCTTTGCCACTTGACCATTAGATTCACGGATCGACACTTCATATTTTCCGATCGTGAATTCCCAGTCCATCCGTTACCAATTGTACGCCTCGACAACATTTTGGAGGCCTCCTTTAGTCACTTGACCGTACTAGATTCACGGATCGACTTTTCATATTTTCCGATCATGAATTCCCAGTCCATCCGTTACCAATGGTTCGGATCGACAACATTTTGGAGGCCTCCCTTAGCCACTTGACTACTAGATTCACGGATCGACATTTCATATTTTCCGATCGTGAATTACCAGTCCATCCGTTACCAATGGTAGGATTCGACAATATTTGGGGGGCCCCCCTTAGCCACTTGACCACTAGATTCACGGATCGACATTTCATATTTTCCGATCGTGAATTCCCAGTCCATCCGTTATTAATGGTACGGATCGACAACATTTTGGAGGCCTCCCTTAGCCACTCGAACGATTGAGCACTAGATTCACGGATCGACAATTCATATTTTCCGATCGTGAATTCCCAGTCCATCCGTTACCAATGGTACGGATCGACAACATTTTGGAGGCCTCCCTTAGCCACTTGACCACTAAATTCACGGATCTACATTTCATATTTTCCGATCATGAATTCCCAGTCCATCCGTTACCAATGGTACGAATCGACAATATTTTGGAGGCCTCCCTTAGCCACTTGACCACTAGATTCACGGTTCGATATTTCATATTTTCCGATCGTGAATTCTCAGTCCATCCGTTACTAATGGTACGGATAGATAACAGTTTGGAGGCCTCCCTTAGCCACTTGACCACTAGATTCACGGTTCGATATTTCATATTTTCCGATCGTGAATTCTCAGTCCATCCGTTACTAATGGTACGGATCGATAACATTTTGGAGACCTCCCTTAGCCACATGTCCACTACATTGACGGATCGACATTTCATATTTCCCGATCGTGAATTCCCAGTCCATCCGTTACCAATGGTACGGATCGACAACATTTTGGAGGCCTCCCTTAGCCACTTGACCACTAGATTCACGGATCGACATTTCATATTTTCCGATCGTGAATTCCCAGTCCATCCGTTACTAATGGTACGGATCGACATTATTTTGGAGGCCTCCCTTAGCCACTTGACCACTAGATTCACGGACGGACATTTCATATTTTCCGATCGTGAATTCCCAGTCCATCCGTTACTAATGGTACGGATAGATAACATTTTGGAGGCCTCCCTTAGCCACTTGACCACTAGATTCACGGACGGACATTTCATAATTTCCGATCGTGAATTCCCAGTCCATCCGTTACTAATGGTACGGATAGATAACATTTTGGAGGCCTCGCTTAGGCACTTGACCACTAGATTCACGTTTCTACATTTCATATTTTCCGCTCGTGAATTCCCAGCCATCCGTTACCAATGGTATGGATCGACAATATTTTGGAGGCCTCCCTTAGCCACTTGACCACTAGATTCACGGTTCGATATTTCATATTTTCCGATCGTGAATTCTCAGTCCATTCGTTACTAATGGTACGGATAGATAACATTTTGGAGGCCTCCCTTAGCCACTTGACCACTAGATTCACGGTTCGATATTTCATATTTTCCGATCGTGAATTCTCACTCCATCCGTTACTAATGGTACGGATCGATAACATTTTGGAGGCCTCCCTTAGCCACTTGACCACTAGATTCACGGACGGACATTTCATATTTTCCGATCGTGAATTCCCAGTCCATCCGTTACTAATGGTACGGATAGATAACATTTTGGAGGCCTCCCTTAGCCACATGTCCAGTAGATTCACGGATCGACATTTCATATTTCCCGATCGTGAATTCCCAGTCCATCCGTTACCAATGGTACGGATCGACAACATTTTGGAGGCCTCCCTTAGCCACTTGACCACTAGATTCACGGATCGACATTTCATATTTTCCGATCGTGAATTCCAAGTCCATCCGTTACCAATCGTACGGATCGACGTTCAGTCCTTACCAATCGTTACGACAAAACAAGTCTTTCATCCGTAGCCAAAATTTTACGAAACGAACGATCCGTATGCATGCGTCAATATTGGACAACCATCGTATTTTGAATATATAATAGCTCAAAACGATACGACCGAATGATTAGATAAGCTTTCCTGATTTTCTTGGCGCTTATTCTCGAATTTTAACAACATTTTGTAATATTTTTATCGTTTCAAACGACTTGAATTCGGTTTGCCTGTAGTTCACCTACATATACTGACCGGCAATGGATGTCATGCTTGTCACATGCATGCACGTGATCGGAATTCCCACTATCTTCCTGAGCTTCCTTCAGAAATCGGTCTCGCTTCAAAGCTTGTAAATTATTGCCAAAAAAGCCCAACACAACGCACTTTCATTCGTCTTACTGCAACTGTTCAGAATTTGGTGACTTTACCGGCTGAAGTTTGTGTTTGAGTATAAAGTACTGTGGTTGTTGTCGTGAAGTTGGTGAACCTACACTACTGCTTGGTTATATAGTTTATTATCAGAACAGGAATTGTTGGTATATTTGTTGGAATTCATCGCTTTGTGCCAAACAAGTAACATACTGAATACATTAACAAGACGCCTTTTTGAGCGTTAAGATGCTGGACAGTGGGACTGTAGTCTGTATTGTTTTTTGTTATACAATATGAAACCAATTCCGTACTTTGAATTTTACCATGTACTTATGTTACTAATATCTTTGAGCTAGCCCTCTTTGTAAAACGTTTTGTTTATATACGTTAGCAAAGAAATGTTGGGAAAAAATAAGACATAGAATCTCTGATATTTTCATAGTTGTTCTGAGCTTGTTCAATTAAGATTGTTCTGCGCTTATTCGTGGATGGCGTTTTAACGAGTTTGTTTGAAGAACTTGCAGTTAATGTAGGCTAGTATGTTTTATGCTAGAATTGCTTGAATTTTGCATGCAAACTTATTATAGAATTTAGTATTGATTCTCAGATGGCGACCTTTACGCTGTGAATGAGTATAATTTTAAATTACCAACGCTGTCTATATCTCAAGACAAACAATGCACTCGCTTTAAGTTAAAGTCTTACGAGCTGTTAAATATATTATTACAGTATTAATAGTCCGACGAACTGCAACAACACCCAAAATGTCCAAAATCCAAAGTGACTTATCCGCTCTTGACAGCCAGATAATGTAACTTCGCAAAAAAGTCATGTGTATAGCCGGTTCTATCTTATTGCGTATTCTGAATGCAACTACCATGATACATTGCGGGTCCTTTCTTCATTATGCAATAACATGTCCGAAAAGCATGCTGGTAGTTGAATTCAGAATACGCAATAATGGAACCGGCTATTGAATGTCAAATCAAAATGAATTTCATTTAAAAACCCAGCAAAATGAATTGTATGACTAAAGGCGGATTTCCAGTCCTCGCAGGAAGCTCTTTGCTGCGAGTGCTTGCGTCTAATTAAAATTAACATTAGCAATATGATTGGATGAAAGTGCTCATGTATGCACTCGCAGCGTGCTGCGAGGAGCTTCGTGCGAGGACTGGAAATACGCCTTAAACAATTTCTGTGTATCAACGTCGCCAACTCAGTGGCGCCGGCGAGGGGAAACCATCAAGAAAACAAAATTTGCTGATATGACTTGATATCTCCGGTAAGTTTCGACGCCATACTTTAGCGAATTCTTTCTTAAAGACGGCAGAAATGCTGCATGCAAAACCCCCGTGCAGTTTTGCAGTTCTGGCCTCCCTAAAAATACATGAAGTATAAATAAGTGATAATTTGTTGTAAAATCATACTTTGAGACATAACTGAAATATATAATGACGTCATTCGTTGAACACCTACGCAATAGTATATGGCATTTTATACATTGTCATTTATAATTAGTAGATACATAAATAGCACCAGTCACGCGTGGTTAATTTACAATCCAAAAGACGGGTAAATGATTGGGTTTCTTTTGTTGTTACTATATTTTAGATACCAGCTAATAAATTAAAAGAGAAAACTTTTTTTAAAAAGCAAATTCTTTAACTCTGAGAAGCTGAGCATATTTAAATCATTTTTGATGTCATTGGAGTCTCTTATCAATTTTGTATCAAAATTTATCACACTGAGCATTCTTTAGAAATTCATGTCTCGCTTCAAAGCGCATTGACAATTGCGAACGCTACAACATATTTCCATTCCTCTCGAATTTGTTTAAACTTTCGTGTCTTTAAGATTAATGATAATCTTTGACAATTGAGTACAAAGTACTGTGACTGCTGTGGTCAATATATATACTGTTGGTGGTCTGTACGGTTCGTTATCAGAATACAAATAACTGATATTTTTATGATAGTAGATATAATTGTTTATCTGCATGCCTGGTAAGTTCTAAAACAGATCATAACCCTTAAACCAAATCTGTAATAGACTGCATGTAGCTACCCAGATATATAGAAATTAGTGTGTACTGGGAAGTAGTATTTGAAATAAAAAAGACGTGCAAAGAAAGCAAAACGAGAGGTTCAATCCCAACCCATACAGGGTTAGCGCAAATCCAGCATCTCATTAACAACTAACCCCTGGTTTACGTTTTGTACTGAACTGCCATAATAATAACTAAAATAAGTGATTCCTTTTGAAACAGATATTGAAATAGAAAATTGAGGTTGAATAAAGAACTCTGGTTTTCATCTTTTGGCATGTGATGCAGATAGCCTAATTGTTTCTAAATCTGGTAAGTATGCTTACAATTTTTATTATTCGTTAAATTTAACACTATAAACCAATCGTCGATTAAACAGTACTTTGAAATTTCAATAAATTTATAGAATTGTATAAAGTATTATAGTATTACCATGGATTGTCAAATAACTGGATAGGAAACTTCTGACGTCATTGACTGCATCCTTGTTGAAAAACGTGACGTCGAATGTTACCAAAGTTCTTGGCATATTTGTTGTTTTGCTATATTTTCCACTTTAAAAGGGTGATCTTGAAGCATAAACTGGTCTAATTGTTTTAAAAACATGCCTAAGCTACGACAAAGTATTCAAGGTAAATGTTTTTCGTCTTTGTTTTGTATTTTTTTACATTTGTAGCTACGAAAATGGCGTCACAAATTTTAACGAAATTTGCGATGTAGGCTATTTTTCACTGTTTAGTGCTTGAATATTTGCTAAAATTGACTGGAAATACTTAGAGTTTTCATCGTAGAATGGCGTGGTTACATTTATTTGCTCTTTGACTAAAATTTTTAGCTGTATTATTGCTAAACATGCCGTTTTTGAGAATTCGGTTTTTAACTAGGTTGAGGCATTCAACCACGCTATCAATCCCAGTAAAAACATTAGGTCACGTCAGCTAGTTTCCTATCCACTTATTTTATTATCCATGGTATTACCTGTGGTATTACTCAAGATGATCGCATCTTAGCTATTAGATATTTTTTTATTTTTGAGATTATAAAGAGAGTCGTGTCGTATTAGGGAAAGTACATTTATTATGCCGAGGGGGGATGAAGATGTTAAGAGGGGGGGGCTCCGAAATATTTTCTGGCATTAAAGGGGGGGCTCTGAAAGTTCTTGATATACTGAAGGGGGGGGGCTCTAAACTTTTCAAAGGTTTGACCCCAGCAAATTAAAGTTAAAATTTTTACATCAGTTTCAGGTAAAATTTGCGTAATAAAGTAATTATTTTTGTGAAATGATAACCATTTTTGTAAAATACAGTCAATTTACATGCAATTTGTTTGCAAAATTTGCTTTAGAAAACGCCAGAAATTCAGTCCTAGAGCTTCAAAAATGTAAAAATTTTCTGGGGGAGGACCCCCAGACCCCCCTTTTCTCCCAAAACTTAGTATAAGAGTGCCAATCAATCACAAAAAGCTTTATTATAAATATTACACGTATAATCCTCTGACATCCCCCACCCCAAACGTCAGATGCTTTGCTACGTCCCAGATGGTTGTATTCGAAACCGATTTCAGTTTTAAGATATCCTTAGTCTGCTCTTCTAAATAGATACATGAAATCACCAACAGCTTATTTTAAATTTTTTTGCGCCAGGTTTGTGAAGTAATTTACGCGCCAAAAAGCAAAAAAGCATATACAATTTGCAAGAATGATATGTTCTATGTTTATGGGATATTTCGTGCAAACGGGATGGAAATTAAAGAAATTGAAGCATACTGGCACTTTTGCATGCATTTTTGACAGGCATGCAAAGACATTTGCAACAGATGCCGGGAGATACGTTAAGTGGGGGCAACATACTGAAAGGTTCCAGCACATTACCCTGATCCAGGAAATCCTGGCCACTACATGAACGTGTTCAAGACTCCGAATACGCTGAATGATGGACAACAACAACCTGTTGATAATTCCACCCCTAGAGCCAATTTAAAATGTTTTAAAGACGGTGCCATTTCATCTGGCCCGAGTGAGATGAAAGAAGCAGCAGATCGGTAGTTTTGTTGAGGAGAAGCACTTGAGTATATCAGACATGTTGAGGAACTGCAAATTGTATCTATGATAAGAGAGAATTCCGGATTGTACTCCTTCGATTCCGAATTCTAGAGGAGGGGGCATTGAAAATTTTAAAAACTTGGAGGGGGGGGGCATCGAAATTTACCGATAACCTGAACAGGGGCCCTGTAAAAATATGAGCTTTTTTCAAGACATCTTCATCCCCCTCCCTCGGTGTAATAAATGTACTTTCCCTAAAGGCTAACGTCACAATCACGAAAACGAGGCTCTATAGCCAAGGTTAAAAAACGGTTACTTCAGATACAATCCACTACCAGGCAAACCAAAATATAGACCATGATCACGGTTTTCGAATCGAAGATCGATTTAAAATTTGATGCTATACTAGCTTTCTATAAATACTAGAAATGAAAATAGAAGCACAAACTTAGGCTCATGAAATTTGGTGTGATGGAAGTTGATGATGCTGGCTTGTTGGCCTGAAAGTTTGGTGAATTAGGTGACGTATAAATTAGCTGAGATGGGCGGGGGGATTTTCAGCTTGCATGAATTTTTTTCGGCCGTATAGGTATTTTATTTGCTTTCTTTTTTATTGCACGAATTTTTTTTGTTTTCCTTTATGCAAACTTTTTTTAGCCCCCCCCCCCCATCTCACCCCTCCCCAATCACTTTTCTAATGGTCTGCCCCCCTAAAGACTGTGGTGCTGGCACTTTTTAAGAAACAATAAATAATTATCATTAATTTTAAATTGTTGAAGAAAACGACTGTATCGTGTCCTTCACAGTTGTATTGGATACACAAACTCGCGCCTAGCTTCGGCTCGAGTTTGTCGGCTACCGTGATGTATATCATCGAGGCTTGACTGGCATGATGCCAATTACCGTTAAATTTTCTGGACCACAATTTTCTGTACTACTTACCAATTTCGTCCTGCTCTTCACTTGGTTTATTACTAGGGGGGTCCGGGGGCATGCCCCCTCGGAAAATTTTTGAATTTAGGGTCTCTGAAATGCCATTTCCTGGACTTTGGGGGGAAGGTTTGACAGAAATCTGATGTCAGGAAACGGCATTATAACGTGTTGAAATTTGCAATTTGGTTAGAATTATATATAGTAGTAGTTCTTAAATTGGGCAATGCTAACCCAGCGATTAATCTAATCCCAATTCTATTCTCTACTGATCTGGTGATCTGAATACATTTACAACATACAGCTCTTTTATACAATAACACAAGGACCCCATGCATATGCACTTTAAGGTTACCTTGCTTGGCTGCCAAAAGGGCGCTTTTCAGCATTATCTTATCACTTACATTACTCATGAGTCATGATGTTTCTTGCACAAACAACTAAATTGCCTACACAACTTACATTATCATAACTATCTAATTTGCGCCGCTCTCGTGATTCGTGAAGCATAATACCTTCATAATATAAGGGCATAATACCAGCAAAAAAGGGCATAATTCCCGTGATCGCTTCGAAACCGGACCAATATTCCGGTAATGAGACATTGTGTGTGATCACTGATCATGTTTCTATATGAACGATTTTGTGTGAGCCGTGAAGTAGCAAATTAGCAAATAAGGTTAGACCAAATAGTCTATAATTTAATATATCACTTTGTCGTCTATGCGCTTAGTCTCGATCTGTTTATAAGCCTATATAAATATATACTTCTTGACGGAAGTAACTATATTTTTTCAAATGCGTTTTTTCCCACCCACTTACAAAATTCCGCACGGGACGGCGCCCCCCAACCTCGTTCCCAGGGCTTCAGTGTGAGGACGAGGCGAGACACGAGGAAGCCCTGGTCCGGGCCGGTCAATTTTGCATTCTGATTGGCTAACACCATATTGCCTAAAAATAACTGAACTTGACAGTTGACAATAACAATTCAACATTTGTATTTTTATACGATTCTTGTGTGTACGAGTATGTTTTGCAAAATAATCTTTCAAAGTAAGACGTTTTCCCCACTGCATGATTTACTTTCGCCTCTGCCGGATACAAAACTCAAAAGCCGTGTCGAAGTGAGCTGTGATGTTTCCTGGCAAAACAAGAAACGTCTACTATTAATATTTAAGCTGTAGTTTTCCTTGTACAGTATTTATTAGTGCAGATGTCTGATGAAATACAACGCGTATTGCACTGTAGTAATATATTTTAATTTACAATATTCTGTACTGACAAATAAAAGCAAGACAAACAATTAAATGAAACTACTAAATTAATTTAGGCCCTGTTTACTAATAGCTCTACGCCTAGGGCCTAGGGCCAGGGGTCTTCAAACCATGGGTCGCGACCCAAAATTGGGTCGCTAGCACACCCTCGAAGGTCGCAAGGCTTGTCTTGGGTCGCAATGCTTGTCTAGGGCACAGAGTAGAAACATACAGAGACGTAACTAGTGTACCCACTTTTTTTGTGCGCATCTCGGCAAGTTACTAGATGCATGCATCTGATTGGATGACGACCTGATGACGACTCACTTTAAACTTGCTGAGCACGCGTAGTTGATCATTTTTCGCCCGGTCGCTTGAAAAAAGTGGGTACAAGATAACGTAATCTTCCGCAGTGTTTACAACGGTCAGTTACGTCTCTGTATGTCTTATCTACTCTGTGTCTAGGGTCGCGAACTTACACTAGTAAACTTTACAAGACGAGAGATCAAGTGATAAGATGCATATATTTACATATGAATATTTCCTTGCGAAATTTGCGATTATAAGGTTTTTTCACGATTATTATGAAGCACTCAAGCGCTAGATTGCTAGAATAATATGGTAAACAGGTAAACTGGTAAAGCTTTAGATATAATAGCTTTTACTTCATGTAACTCAAACATTATGGCTTAGCACCACTCGGCGCGCCTTCGGCGCACGTCGTCTTCCGATATAGAGTCGTCGTCATACACTCGGAAGCTTTCGGTGAAAAGCCATAATGTTTTTAATTATCGAAAGTTTTATGGCAGTGTTCAAGGTCGCGGGACACCTATGAAGCTTGGGTTTGGGTCGCCGAAAAAAAGGGGTGAAGACCCCTGCCTTAAAGAATATTTCGCCACTCCTTGACGAGTAGCTGTCAAATACTGCCATTTTTTGACGTCACGTGACCGGCCCGGACCAGGGCTTCCTCGTGTCTCGCCTCGTCC